TGACCACTCCACCCTCCCCAGCCTCCCTGCAGCTGCGAACAGCCCCCAAGACCCCCAACTGAGCCCCGGCCAACGGCAGGGCTGTCCACCCCCAACCAACCTACCCAGAAAAGGGACGACCCAGAGGCAGCAACGGCAGTGCAGCAGAGGATCCAGGCGGCGGAAGCCTGGTGCTCCTTTATGACGAGGAAGGAGGCCTGAAGAGCGGGCAGCGCGGTGCTCAGCTGAACCCGGCCCCAGCAGCAGCAGGCTCGACACAGCCCCACAGCAGAGGCTGGAGGCCAAACAGGATGCCAGGGAGGTGGCGAGCAGGGTGGGAGACTGGAAGATGCTCCAGCTGCCAGGACACTAGGCAGGTCTGGTGAGGAGGCCAGCAGGGCGTCGACCGGTTCGAAGCAAGGAAGTGCCAGGCAAGCAAGGCAGTCTTAGGCAAGGGCGTGGTGAGGCCAGGAAGGCAAGCCAGGATGAGGGAGGGGGTGGAGCTGGAGAGGGGAGAGATACAAAGGGAAGGAAGGAGGCACCCGATGAGGAAGGTCCTGGATCTCCAGAGTGCAGACAGACAGAGAGAGAGGGACACAATCCAGGGGGGTGAAAGAGGTGGTGACACAACCCCCCCCCTTTTTACCCAGACCTGAAGCGACTCCTATTCCTTCTACCCTCCCCCAGCTTCACCAACCGGTGTAGGAAAAGGGGACGTGCAACAGCGTGGTGGCGACCGGCACACAGTCGACAGCAAACGAGGGCCGCAACCATGTGGTGGAGAATGTGGGCAGAGCCTCACCCCTTGAAGCTCCCAACCCAGCAGGATGCAGAAGTAGCCAGTCGTGGCTACAACCCCCCCACCTTCCTCTCCCTGACTCTGGCAGAAGGTGAGGATCGAAGCATCGAAAGAACACAAGGAGGCCCCCCCCCAAAAAATGGACTTCGCTCAGTTCAGCCGATAGATGGCTGAGCACCAGGCTTAGCTCCTGCGCGATATAATGCAACAGCACCAGGCGGCTCAGGCCACCATGACGCGTAGCCTGCAACAAGCCCTCATCACAGTGGGATGGCGAGGGCACCCTGCTGACTAGGAGTCCATGGCCGCCCCTGGCCAAGATGGGGCCGGAGAAGATTGAGGCTTTGCTAGAGGCCTTCGAACACACGACAGAGGCAACCAGATGGCCGCAGAACCAGTGAGTGTTCATCCTTGGGCCCTACCTGACAGGGGAGGCTGAGGCTGCCGTGAAGGCCCTGGAGAAGGCCAAAGCCGCTGACTACACCAAGCTAAAGGCGGCAATCGTCGACCATTATGGGGGTCACCCCAGAGGCATACCGTCAGAAGTTCCAGACCATGTCGCTCTCCTCTTTGGGGAAGGCCACAGGCTTCCATCGCTGCCTTATGTGACATGGCCATATCCTACCATGGAGGATGGAGTGCCACATTGTCAAGCAGGTCATCACAGAACAGCTGCTGCAAATCCTCCCTGCACGCTCATGCCACTGGGTGACGTGTTGGCAGCTGGCCCACTTATCAGATGCGCAAGAGCTATGGGGAAATTTCCAGGCCACGGAAGGTCGGGAACCCGTAAGCTGCTCTGACCCACCCCACGGGGGAGGGAAGACCCTACTGATGACTGGACAAAGACCACCTGTGGCCTTGGAGGAGTGGGGAATCAAACCTGGTTTGGTTTAATTTGGTTGCTGGATCCAATCAGCTACAGGTAACAAAGTGAAAATAGACACCTCTTTAAATGGAGGAGGAGGAGCTAATAGGCCTGCCCCCCAAAAACTTTGTTTGAAATGGCATTGATATTCTTAGGTCTTTCTCTTGGGAAAATTCGAAGGGAGACTTGGAACGGGGTTTGGAGAGCACTTAGCACAGCAGAGGTACACAGTTCAGTATTCCAATGCGTTCCTTCCTTCTGTGAGTCAGGCAGTTGATCCATCCAAGAACAACCGGCCAATCCCTCTGGCTTGAAAAAACAGCCTCAGTGCCTAGCCCAGTACTTCCAAGGGTTTTCCTTTATAATAATTGCAAGGGTCTGAATTTTTATGAGCAAGCTAGCTTTCAGGACTGCAATGATAACAGTCATGCCATGTCCCTAGGATGTGTCTTCATGCATCTGACAAAATGAGTCAAAAGGCTTCTGCCACAAAATGCAAAGACTCTTCCTTGTTCTGGATGCAGAGTGGTGCAGCAGAGTGGCGGAGTGCTGTCAAGTCACAGCCGACTTATGGCAACCCATAAAGTTTAGTGGGTGGTGGTTTCCCATTGCCTGCCTCTGCATAGCAACCCTGGACTTCATTCCAAATACTAACCAGCAGAGTAGGAAAAGTCTGCCATAGAGTTGCGCAATTGACTCACAGTGACCCCATGAAGTTCCACCTCATGGGCTTCTCAAGACAAGAGATGAGCAGAGGTAGTTTGCCATTGCATAGTAGCCTCCGTCTTCCTTGGTGGTCTCCCATCCCAATACTGACCCTGCTTAGCTTCCAAGCTCTGATGAGATTGGGCTAGTCTGGGCCATTAGGGCTGCTATGTAGCAGAGGAACACCTGCCAAACATTTTAAAGTAAGCCGCAGAAGAAGATTCCAGCTGGATCAAAACAGAGGTCCAGCATCCTATTTAACACAACAGCTGCAAACAGGTTGCAAAGACAACAGCCCCTCCGTGCTAGTTGCTCTGAAACACGGAGCGTCAGTGAACAAAGCACCAGGGTTTCTAAAAAGGGATGGGTATTGGTGTCCTTGCCTGATGAGTTTGCTGCCACCTTTGTGTTTCAAGGTTAGGTGGGTGCATAGTGCAGGAGTGTGCACAGAAACAGCCCTTGGTTTGGTCAATCCACTGATCTCTCGCTGATCAGCCTTTTGGGTGGAGCCAGCCCTTCTGTCCCCAGCAGTGTAAGAAGGTGGCAAGTTGTGGTCGGTGCAGTTAGCCATTTTAGCTTGGCAGTGCAAGGGTTCTGATACTGCCGTGTACTGTGGGCACTGTACCACTACCCCCTATAGACGTCCTCTCCCTTCTGTGCAGACGTGCACTCTGGAGCTCACCACTTTCACTCAGGCAAAGCCTCCACAGCTTAGTGCAGTCCTCTCCACACACAGTCAGCGGCTCAACGCAACGCTGGACCCATAACCCTGTTAGCGTATGAAGCGTCTAGTAACCACACGTACCAGGTTGCTAGTGCTCACTATTCACAGTGGCTTTATTTACACAGATATATACACAGTTCATATAGCACTCTCCAACTCCAAATCGCTGTACAATCCGGCAGAGTGCTCCGCAAGGCATTCACAGAGTGAACACCTCTACAAGTACTTTACACACTTATATACATGTTCAGCACCAATCAGTGATCAGTGCTGTCTCATGGTGACATCATTTTAGCTGATGCAACTGGGATGCAATCTTAACCTGGTGACATGATCATATGACTCCTTCTGCTGTCAACCAGATCAGAATGATCTCCACCATTTATTTTCTTAGGCTGTCATCTTGCTTCATACCTGATAGTATGCTGACACTCCCACCCCCATAGCTAACAATCCAAGAGAGTCCAGTGGCACCTTTAAGACCAAGTTTTATTCAGGTACAAGCTCTCCCTCCTCTGCGAGGGCAGATCTGCACGTCCCCCCCCAATAACTAGCAATCCAAAACAGTCCAGTGGAGCCTGAGTGGAGGGGGTTGCCTTCTGACACATTTCTGGTGATGTCAGGGGGTGTGGCATATGCAAATATGTTATGCTAATGAGCTCCTGCACCTCTTTTTCTAAGAAATGACCCCTGAACAGAGCCCTGTACCCTGGTAAGCCATACCTCTGAAAGTGAGCTGAAAGGAAAGGCAGGGCAGAAATAGTTTAGTAAATATAAATAAAGACAGATGCATTCAGAGTAAGCCCATAGCCTGGTTCACACATGTAGAAAGCCCTGAGATGGTAGACTGGACAGTGCCATTTCAAAGGGGCACATTCTAGTCCTGAAAGTTCTTTTGCATTAAAAACAAGACAAAAACAAAAACCTTCTTGTAAACAAAACTAGCAAAGCAGGGATAAAAGTTCTTCCCCATCTCTTGGCTTGCTGTGCTGGTTTCCTGTTTGAAATGAACTGTATCATAGGAGCCACATTCCATCTTCCCCCCTACAGTGTAAAGTGGCGCTTTCCATTCCACTAATGCATTCTGTTGCTTTGCGCCCCCCCCCCCCCACGTGTTTTGCTCTTTCTGTATGTATGAACCAGAAGAGGACTATAACGGGGATTTCATATGGAAGCAGGCCGTCCTTACTAATTAGTCTCAAAAGGCCCCCACACTGTGGATTGCAAAGCAGTCTTGCCTTAGCGAGTGATAATGACCACCACTACTTCTTTCTGTTTGCTTTCTTTCCAGTTTAAACATGAGGCAGAAGCGTTTCCCGGGGCTGCACCGCTGTAGACATAGCAAAAACTAAAGAAAATATGTCCTTGCGCATAGAAAGCTAGCACATCGGGGAGAACGAGTCTAGTGTAGCTTTCTCCGTGACGAAATCGTCTCTGTGTGTACTTCATATGTACATTCCTATCTGCCTTCAGAGCAGCATAGTCTCTAGGGAAAGTACTACTACAGTTTGCCGTATGTTGCGTACATACTGTAGTGTGGAAAGGCAAGCGAGAAGCAGACGTCACAAGGGCCGGCTCTGCGCTGACTTCTTGCACAATGCCGAAGTCTCTTACCAACAGGAAAGAGGGCAGAGAAGCGCTTGCCTCTCTAGCTGGAGCCTTTCCCAGGATCGCGCCAGGCTGCGGGCGTTGCTGCTGTGCCATCGGCCGGGTTGTTGTTGGGGTTGCTGTTTGCAGAAAAACACACCGGAAGAGAGCTTCGCAGCACCAGCCACCTCCCCTTGGAACTCGCCGAGGAACTTTTTGCGGGGCGGGGCTTGGGAATCCCACGTGGGACTGGAAACTGACCAAATTTAGGAGTCTTGCTTTTGAGGGGGAAAAGGACACGCTCAGCAACGCCAAACTAACCTCCGATGCAGGCGGCGGAAGAAGTCGCTCCGCTTCTCTTTTTTGCAATGGAGAGCTTTCTAATTCTAAAAGACGAGTTTTGAGCTGGGGCGGGGGGAGAATGGAAGGCGACGGCTGTAAACTGGGAAGCGCGGGGAGCCTGTGGCAGGACACTTTGGCCATCGCCCTGACTCCCAGCAAGCCTGTCTCGGCGGGGAGCCACGGCAGCCGCGGGGGCAACGGCCGGAGCCGAGCCTTGAGCGTTGTCTTCGTCTACACCGAGGATCTCACCGAGCCCCTCCCTCTGCGGTGCTTGGAGGACGCCTGCAAAGAGATCCCGGCAGCCGAACTGACGGTCCTGCCCTTTGGTACCGTGGCCCTGGGCGACATGGGCGCCTTGGACAGTTTTTATAATGCAGGTGAGTCCCACCGCAGCAGGCTGGGGCCAAAGCAGCCGGGGTCAGAAGAGGAGCCCAGTGGCACCTTAAAGACAGACGGCTTTTGTGAGCTGCAGCTCACTTTATCAGATGCATGGGAGCGTGCATCTCTTGGACATCTTTTTTACTCTTAAAAGTTGCCAGCAAAAGAAAGGCGAGGAGTGGCGAGGAGCAGTGTTCCCTCTAAGCTGAGTTAATGTGAGCTAGTTAGCTCACAGTTTTTTAGCCTCCGGCTCGCACAGTTTTGTCTTAGCTCAGGAAGGGATGGCTCCAGAGCAAACTAATTTATGCAGCCACCAGATCGCTCACTCACAACTTTAATGCCAGTCGCTCACAAAGTATTTTTTGCTCACAAGACTCCACAGCTTAGAGGGAGCATTGGTGAGGAGATGTAAAAACTACCCACTCTGCTCCCACCTTTACCTTTCTACTGGCTGTAGGGTTGCCAGTCTCCAGGTGGGGCCTGGGGATCTCCTGCTTTTACAACTGATCTGCATCTTTCAGAGATCAGCTCCCCTGGAGAAAATGGCTGTTTTGAAGGGTGGACTCCATGGCATTGTACCTCCCCAAACGCCACTCTCTTCTGGCTCCACCCCCCAAGTCTCCAGGTATTTTCCAACCCAGACCTGGCAACCCTGTGACTTTTAAGTATAAATAGATCACCTATGGATGCCAATGCATCTGATGAAGTGAGCTCCCATTCCCAAAAACTGATGCTGGAATTTAAAAAATCCCTGTCGTTTTGGTGTGTGTGTGTGTATGGGGGGCTCCTGTTCTGATTTTCTCTGAAGCGGCTCCAGGCTGTAACTTTCACACAAGTTGTAGGTAAGAACACCTCAGTGTGTTTGGTGCCATTTAGGGTTGCCAGCTGACCTTGTTTGCACTGATTTAAACTGGACTCCTGCACCAATAGGTCAGTGCCCTGTGCAGTATTTCCCCATCAAGTGAAAAGCAGGGAAGTTAAAATGACCCAGGGCAAGCCAGGCTGAGCAGCCCCTGTAGCATGATGACTGGCCAGCACTGAGGGAGCCGCTCTGCTCAGACTCTGCCAGCTACACTGATGGCAAGCCCTTGCTTCCTCCTGCTGTGTCACCGACCCAGGAGGGTGCAGCTGGTGAGCTGACACTGATCGCTGTTGATGTCGGCTCCAAGAGGCCTCTGCTGGGGTTGGCTTGGTCCTGACTGCCAGTGGCCTTCCAGAGTAGCGGCCTGCTGGGGGCTTTCTCTGTATAAACTGAATGGCAGGGACTTTGTACCTGGTGCGTAGCTGTTTAAAAAGCCAGAAGGAAATGCAGCAGCCCCCTCAGAGTTTGGCCTTCATGTTCTTATTCTTATGGCCAGGGTATTTCCTGGCAAGTCCCAACAACACTGTTGCATCTCGCTGCAAACGGCATTTGGGCTGTGGTGACTGATTGCATAATGTATGCTCTTTTCATAGAATGATGCAGTGTTGTGCACACTTGTGAGATACACAGAGCTCTTTGTCTGGCCATCTGAATTTGCTTTAGGATGATGTTACAAAGTGCCAGTCTTCATGTTGTGAAATCCATCTATGTCATATAGACAGTGATAGGAATATATTTTTATTGCCTAAGCACCAAGCACTTATTTGTGCTTCCTTTCATGTTTTAAGACATTCTCTTTCTCACTGTTGAGAAATGTAGTGTATATCAACTGTAAGAGACTGTGGCATAGTGGTTTGAGTCACAGTAGGATTTGGGAGTCCTGGGTTCAGATCCCCACTCTGCAATAAAGCTAACTGTTCTCAGCCTAACCTACCTCACAGGGTTGTCATGAGGATAAGATGAGGAAGGAAGAACTGAGCATGCTGTTGTACGATCCCTGGAGGAAAGGAGGGACAGTAGTGCTGTAGATAGCTTAAAACAGATTCCTTTTCCCATCATTTCTTTACTACAGGGCCTTGGAGCGGGGTGGGTGGGGGGACAGGTATCGGAAAGCTACCTGTTTCAGTAGTTTCCAGACTGGGATTCTTCAGACGTTTACCAGAGTATCTCTATAAGGAGACAGATTCCAGAGGGATAGTTGTATTAGCCAGAATAACAGGATCTTGTGACATTTAACCAATTTTATTGTGGAATAAATGTTATTAATTTGGCAGATATACCGGTATTTATATCCAAAAAGTTATCAACAGCAGAAGGGGTTGGAGTGAGAAATTATTACAAAGAGAGGTCAGAAGGCCCAGTTTCCCAGGACACAGTGTGTTGTGTCACATTACATTGTGTCACAGATGAAAACAAAATCCATTTACAACTATCCACGCAGAGTGGGTGTGGAACACTCCCAACTGCTGATGAATTGACAGAGGAACTTTTGTGGTGAATTAAGCACCCCAAATCCCTGTTGTGTCCAAGTCTGATAGTCGCAAGTCTGTCTATGAAATCCTACTCAGCAGCTTCTCACTGGGAATGTCCTGGGAAGTTAAATCACACCCCACTTATTTCTCAATGTTTCCATCTTGAATAGATGGTTTATGTTTGTTTATCCTATGTGCAGAGGTGGCATACTTTTACCCCATGCTCCTTTGCAACGTGCAGCCACTGAAGAGCATCCAAGAATGTATTCCAAGTTCAGATAGGTGGAGCTCAGTACTTTGCATTTGCTAGAATGTGCCCCAGGGCACATTTCTCAACGATAGACTTGTTTGAAAATAGCTCATCATTCTGCATGGTTAACCATTGGTCTGGGGGCTGAATCTGGTTCTGTCCTTTACAGTCCCATCCAAAACTGAATTACACCCTTTTAAGCCCTTTGACTTGAATAGGCAGTGGATATAGCTATGTTTATAATGATGCTGTCTGTGTCTTAAATAGCTGGTATCTGAGATACCTCCCTCCAGATCCTGGAGAAATAAAATCTTCTGGAGAAATGCTTATTCGTGTTCTACAGCCATGATCACTCAGGCAGCCTGAGTGCTGGTTTGGTATAGTGGTTAAGTGCGTGGACTCTAATCTGGGAGAACCGGGCTTGATTCCCCACTCCTCTACTTGCACCTGCTGGATGACCTTGGGCAAGCCATAGTTCTTTCAGCTGTCCTTGAAAGAGCAGTTCTCTCAGAGCCCTCTCAGCCCCACCTACCTCACAGCGTGTTTGTTCTGGGGAGGGGAAGGGAAAGGAGTTTGTAAGCCGCTCTGAGACGAGACCGAGTGAAGGGCAGGATATAAATCCAATCTCTTCTGCTTCTTCTTCTCCATCAGCCATCTTCTTTGAATGGAGCCATTTTGGTGGTGGCTGCTATCCTGTGGAACTCCTTGCCTCATGAAAAGGATCTCTCATATCCGTCATCCTTATGCAGATCAATATTTATTTAGATATTTAGACCTTGCTTTTCTCTCCTGTGTGGCCCAAAGCATCTTAGAACAACATTCTCTACTCTTCCATTTTATCCTCACCACAACAATCCTGTGTATGAAAGTGACTGACCAAGCTCACCTACTGAGCTTCCATGGCAGTGTGGGGGATTCAGATCCTTGTCCAGCATTCTAACCACTATACCACACTGGTTCAGTAGCTTTCCAGTAATGTGGAGAACTGGGCAATATTTTTGTTTATTTTGGTTTTATTTAAATTTGGTCATATTTTTGCCCAAGAAAATAGGGGGGGATGTCTGTACTAGCAGTTTTATAGAGGCGAGAGTGGGGTTCCTGTTTGCATGACCCTCTGGCAGTTTGGTCGGGTGTCTGATTATTTTACCAGGAAGACATAGGGCCGAGGTCTGTGATCTTTTGCCGTTAAAGAGCCAAATGATGTCAGAATTCAGATCAACCAAGAGCCAGTATGAGACAGCCCGTCTGCACTGGTGGTGGAAAGTGCTGTCAAGTTGCAGCTTGCCATTGCCAGCCTCTGTGTCGTCATCTCAGACTTCCTTTGTGGTCTCCCATCCAATTACTAACCAGGGCTGAACCTGCTTAGCTTCCGAGATTAGACAAGATCGGGCTAGCCTGGGCCATCCAGGTCAGGGATGATGTGTGTTTCTGAAAATCCACAAATTAACCTGGCTGGTAATTGACATGTTGGATAATTCATAAGGTTTCCGCAGCCCAAAATGCTGGCTGTTGTGAGTCCTTTACTAGGAAATGGCACACACAAGGTCTCACAATAAGTCATAAATATACACAGGAGCACCCTGTGCAATTGTTTTAGTGGCATTAATCTGTGTATAGTTCATAGATGGATTCCTGGCAACTGTTCGCCTCTATTATTTCCCTTTCTGTAAAGGATCTCTAGGAGCTGCGGTGGCTCAAGTGGTTAAGATGCTGAACTGCGGGCTGTGGAAGGTCAGTAGTTCAACAGTTCAAGACCCAAGTGTGCCGCATGATGGAGTGAGCTCCCGTTTCTGGTTCCACCTCCTGCCAACCTAGCAGTTCGAAAGCAAGAAATTGCAAGTAGATAAATAGGGACCACTTCGGTGGGAAGGTAACAGCGTTCCGTGCGCCTTGGTGTTTAGTCATGCCGGCCACATGACCACGGAAACGTCTTCGGACAGCGCTGGCTCTTCGGCTTGGAAACGGAGATGAGCACCGCAGCCCTAGAGTCGGACTTGACTGGCTTTCGAGCAAGGGAACCTTTACTTTACTTTAAACGATCTCTAAGAAGCCCTTTAGTCTCATCAGAGTCTCTGCCTGCCATTCCCTCTGCATGCAGGTTATTCTAGCATCCAACCTACCCCTCCAAGAGACCTTAACTAAAATATTTCATTTTTAAAAAAGAGCTGTATTTGGCTCCATACTGAGCCACATGCAGCTCCTGATCTAGCAGCTATTCAGAGCATCCTTGGAGAGCTGACCAAAAAAGGCTGTTCCCTGGCTCTTTCCACACTACCCAAGTAGTGGCTGGGGCTAGGGCTGCCAAGTGGGGGCGGGTGGCGGGTAAACCCCCGCTTCGGAGGCCCGATTTCTGCCACCGCGGAATCGGGCCCCGTAGGGAACCTATGGTTTCCCCTTGTATGGCCGTGGCCTCGC